TGGCAGGGCACCGGCACCTGGCTCCCCCCAAAATGGGTGTTAAGGGCTGGGCGGGGAGGAGGGACTTTCACTCTGGATTTTAATTGCTGTGCCGGGCGATAAGGCGATCAGCAGCGTTACGGCTGCAGGTGATTGTTGCAGTCGGGGGTGACGGGCACAGTGGGGCAGTTCCGCCCGGCATTGCCACCTCTGTCCCACTGTCCTGTGAGGTGGCATCGTCCAGCCTTGTCCCCGGGGCCAGACACGGCATCGTGGGAGCAGCCTGGGGGCACCCCAGTGTCCAGTGAGGGCCTGTGGCCGGGGACCCCCGAGCAGGAGGGAGCAGGGTTGGGGTGTCAGCCCTGGAGAAACCAGGTCCCACCTCACACAAACGGCTCCTCGTCAGCGTTATCGTGGCGGGGACTCACGGCGGGGCCTGGCTGCAGGGACGAAGCACCCTTCAGCGTCGTCATTACGAAGGCAGCCAACAAAACCCAGCGCAAGCAAAGCTCTCAAGCTCTTCAAAACCTTTTCAGAGAGGAGCTGCTTTCCCCTGCCCGCGCCGGGCAGAGGCTCCCGTGCTGCCTGGCATCCCGCCGGCCTCCGCTCCCTCCCACGCGCGCTTATCTTTAGCCCGGGCTCTCTGCTCGCTCGCACGCACCGGGCTCGTTTCCACGCCCAGGCACAGCCCCTCGTCCCGCCATCCCTTTGCCAGCACCTTCAGCGAGGTGTCACCCCAACCCCTGAGCTGCAACGGGGTTTATAATTAACTCCCCGGATCCTGTACACCTTTAGGGGTCATTTGCATCACGTCGGAGCGTGTAAACTCCCCATCCCAGCTCCTAATTAGCGCGCTGAGACGAAGCGAACCCCTTGAGAGCGACGTGTTTTTCCGTGTGCTGCAGCCCCGGGATGCTCATTGCGGTACTGGGGGGGTCCCGGTGCTGCCTTTGACACCTTTACACCCTTCTCCATCCCTGAATGATCCCAGAAATGTTAAATCCACCAAGTTTATCCTAAAGTCAAAGGGGGGGGGACACGTTTAGGGGAGCACCCAGACCCTGCAGCATCTTCTGTCTGAGCGTTCCCCTAATAACTCCAGGTCAGGGTCTCTGAGGTCCCCAGAGTTTCATCCTCCCACCTCTCCCATCCCCATGGGGCAAAGCAGCATTGACAGAGAAATAGGGGGAAAAGGCCCTTTTCACCAAATTATGGGGATTTTGTTGCAAATCAGAAAGCTGGGAGTGGCTGGGTAGAAATGGGGTGGGAAGAAGGTGGCCAGCAAGTCCCTGCTGTCCGTGTTCAGCAGCTTCCAAAAAATGTTTTGCTGGAGAAAAATAATGATTAAAGTGGGAGAAAGAGTTTCCATCCCCTTTTTTACAGGGAGAGGCAGCAAGCTTGGACGGGAGGGGAAAATCTGAGCCAGAGGCAGTGAAATCCCGGGAGAGAGCAGGCCAGACACTGCATCGCTGGGACTGGGACTTTACGGACCAGCTGTCTCGGAGGGACTTGTGGTGCTGGGACCACCGGGGGCCACATCCATCCCTGGCCGGTGCTGCCAGGGGACATGGCCCTGGCTCTCACCAGTCCCCCGGGAACGGCAGTGCTGGGGCCTTGCAGCATCCTGAGCCCGGCGCAGGGAAACGTCAAAGTTGAGCAGGGTTTCTGCGGGGGGTTGACAGGCCCTTCTGCTTTTTATAGGTTGTTTAAACAACTAACCAGTATAAACCAGAGCAGGGCTGGCGGCACGGGAAGGGGAGCAGGGAGGGCAGGAGGAGTCTGCTGGGAAGTGGGGGAAAGGAGAGCCTGGTGGGGACGGGGTGCTTTGGGGACATTGAGGGCACATCAGGGGACAAGGGGGTTGCCTCCGCTAACGGCCTTCCCCCATTTCATAACAGCACCCCAACACCCACCAAAATCCCTGGGGGCAATTATAATTAATTATAATTCAACCATCTACCCCCATCGCAGCACAGGGCCTGGGCACATCCCTGTGCCCCTCCAGAGCCAAATCCAGGCTTGGGCTGGGCTCAGGGGGGGATGCAGTCCCAGCTCCAGCCCCCTCGGGGTGACACAGACCGAAAGTCCCACCAGCACCCGGCACTGCCACGGGTTGGTGCCGTGGGGCGAAGCGTGGCAATGGGCGGAGGCTTTTCGGTTCCAAAATGACTGTGTGAAAGGAGGAAGGATTGAAACGTCCCCAAAAAAATGAGGCAGCTCTCACCCTTGGGAAAGGGGATGGACACACGACCCCCTCCAGCACCCAGGCCACCTTTTTTGCTCTGTGTCGCCAACGCTGCTGGCAGCAGCTAAGGAAAGAAACACGCTGCTCCCACGGGGCCGGGCCGCCCCACGCTGCAGCTGGGCATTAATAGGGGAAATGATGCTCGTTTGCTGCTGGAGGGGTCGCTGGGGGCAGCCAGAAGTTGCTGACAGCTGGCCTGAGCCCATCCCCGTGGCGTTAGGGCCGCACGGCTCACAAACCTGGCCTGTTCCTGCCAATCCTGCTGTAATTCTTGGGAAGAGGAGGGAAATCCAACGGTCTTAAATACACAAATTCCCCTCCCGATCCTTCTGGGGAGCCCCGCAGCAGTGCAGCGTGCCGGATCCTCAGCCCCCTCGCTGCCGGGACGCTTCTCCCAGGTGTCAGCAGGAATCCCCATCCCCCTGCACCATCTAAAGTTTCCCAGACCTGTTTTCCTTCCCCGCTGCTGCACCGTCTGGCCCTCAGCACTGGGATATCATCAACGCCCCAGGCTCGGAGGGGAGTGGGAACGTTTGACATCCTAAACCAAACCCGAGGCCTCCATCTACATCCCAAATCCCCCTCCCCGAGCTGCACAGGTCTCCCCCCAATGTCACCCGCGTGTGACGTGTCCCGCTGGCAGCCAGCGACGTGGAAAAGCGCCAGGGTCCGGCTCCCAGCCGTGTTGCCCACGCTCCCTCCCCAGCCGGTACTCGGTGCCCCAAGGGACGTGCGTGGAGAGAGGGGGCACGGCCTGTCACCTCCCCGGCGCAGGTCCCTGCTTCCCAGCTCTCCCGCCGTTAATTCATCCCCAGCAAAACCCCAGAGCCAGCAGCTCCCGGAAACTTTTGCTCATTAAAAGAGTAAAACCCCAGGGACCAGGGGACTCGCTGGCCATGGGCTGCAGCGGGCAGGAGGATCCGGCAGAGGATCCACCTCGTTCTGCCCGCGGGGACGGGCGATGGAAGGAGACTCACGCGCGTTGGGACACGCTGGAGATGCCACATGCTGGCCAGAGCCACGGCCGGGTCACGTCCCCACCCGGGAGAGGCAATGAAGCTGCTGCCAGGCCGCTGTGACACCCCAGCGAAGCTTTGGTGGCACCAGGCCCTGGCCCTGCGTCGGGCTGTCCCGGCGCTGCATCACCAGCACCGTTACAACTTACTCCACGTCGAGCCAACAGCTCGGCCGTGCCGTGCCTCAGTTTCCCCTCCCCGTGTGGGCTCAGCCCCAGCAGCCGAAGGCTTCGGCGGGTCCGGGGGTGGCAGGGAGGCGGCCGGCGGGGGCCGGGGCAGGGCGGCTGCCATCCAGGCTGCACTTTTGGGTTAAACCCGGGCGTTCCTCCCTGCACAGACACGAGTAAAAATAACCGCCCCGAGCGCGGCGCAAACCACAGGCTTTTTATAGCCCGCCATCCCTAGACGGCGGGGCGGGGGACGGGGCTCCGCCGTGCCCAGGGCAGC